CTCTCTTGAGTTAAGGATGTTGTGTATGGATGTGGAATAATGTGTTAGTAGATATTGCATTTTACGGGTCATCCACCATATATGTTTGTCCTCTCGTGTCCTTGGTGCAGTCTGTGACTGTCTCAGCTGTATTAGTACTGACATTACCAAGGAAAGCTCTGGATTACATTCCAAATGCCGGAAAACTACTCGTAAATGGGAAATACCATTGGCACATTCTGAATCAGGTCAACACGTGAAAGCTTTCTGGAAGAGAGCAATTGGTTTGAAATTTCAAAATGTTACCAGGTAACAAACATTAAGTGGAAAATATTCATGGAATGCTGTCAAACAGTGCGAATGGACGACGCCAAGTAGTTGCAAGTAGTCATGTGTTTGCTACATTTTCCCTCAAGAAAGGAAATGTCTGATTACTTAGAATGCCTTAAATATTATGGTTCACTTTTCTCCACATTCATATATACATTTTTCTCCACAGAAATGTGGTGATTGAAAACCTCTAGACTTCTTTACAGTCTTGATTTATGACAATTATGCACTTTCAGTATAATTTAGTCTAGTTTTAATTGTAGGCATTAGGGTGTAATATCATGTTGGCCTTGACTGAAGTGGTTAGATGTGTGCTGTCAGTATGAATTGTCTTTTTACAGCTCCCATGACATCCCCTTTCCTCATATGTTGCTGTGAGAATGGGTTTTGTAATAATGATGGATTACTATGGCAACCATCTCTGTATTTTTAGCAAGATGCACAATGTGAATGGAGAAAAGGTAGTTGTCCCATAAACCCAGAAATCCTTTTGGGGGCATAAGCTGAAAAATGTGCAAATACACTAGAAGATAAAGGCCATATCTTCACTGTTATGTAATGCTGATATGAATAGAGTAGCACTTACGTATGTAGCACTGATGTATGGCTTGATTTAACAAGATTGTTTTGTTTTCAAACTAAGTCTCTTATGCTCACCAATTTAAAATAGCTGTTTTCTATTGTAATATATTTTAAAATGTAATTTATTCCTGTGATGGCAGTGCTGACTTTTCAGCACCCATTACTCCAATCTGCAGTGTTACATGATCCTTCAGAAATTATTATAATACTTTAATCTATACAAATAAATAAATAAATACACAGCTTTTACCACAAAGGCAGTTAAGAGTGACCAAGGGCTATCAAAGGACACCAAAAAAAAAAACATGACGTACGGTATTATGGAATGAGTAAATAATGACCTTTTTTTACATTTTTTTTTATTTTGGGTGTACTGTTCCTTTAATTGACATGAACCCTCATTAGGCTGAAATATGAGCTGTTCATGGAGTCATGCAACTGTTTCCTCTCACAGTCGTTCTTTCGGGACCTTGTTATGTGCTATTGCAAAGCTTACACAACATGTTTATCATATGATTATCTAATTAATTAGCTTGTCCATCCTTATCAACAAGGCCGCAGAAATAGTGAATCACTTTTAATTTAGCTACACTTCCATCCTACACACTCCCATTTTCTGTGTCCCATATAAGGTTATATTTTAAGTTGTTCCTTATGTGTATTAGGTACTTATAAGAAAGTTTTTTAATAAAGTATGTATGCACTTTATTCACAGTACATTTAGCTGGACACAGTGCATTTAGCTGGTAATAATTAAACTGAACAGCAGTCAGGTGTTCATTGCCTCATCCTTTCCACTAATGTGAATAAAATAATAAAAAGGCATAAAGATGGAATGATAGCATGAGAGTGATGAATAAAATGGGAGGGCGACAAAAAGATAATACAGTTGGTAGTGCGAAGGATAGCAGAATAGAGCAAGAGAGACAGTTGTTTAACCTGTCAGGGATGATGAATGTTCAGTTCTACTGGTCAAAATTAATTGAACTGCTGACAAATATTATGGGCCAAGTATACATTGCCAGCAGGGCAGAGAACACACATATGCATATTAGTTTTCCAATAGTATATTTTGCTATGGTCATCCCTGATGTTGATGACCAAAGCAAATATTCTCTCATACCATATTTCATTTTACTTTACTTCTTTACTTCTTTACTTTACTTTACTTTTTACTTTACCCCAAATAGCATGTTTGAGATTGAGCTTGTTTAGGCCTGGTAGCTTTGTTTCATTATGTGTATATATGATTCTCTGTTTACCATAAAGTTCTACACTATTTAAATTAAACTTTGACTTATAGTTGTGATTTATGACTAACACGACTATCTCAAAATGACATTCAAATTTTCCGCTAAGGAATCATCACACACAAGTCCCACAGAGACTGCTGTGTGAGTGTCATGAAGACAACAGAGGCAGTGGTGGCCTATAATCTAGAATAATCTGGTATAATCCAAATCTGTTTACTCGGGCCAGTGTTCCAAGCAGAACTGGTGGCAAAAGACAATTGTGGTCTCCATATTACTACTTAATTATCTGATATTTTTCAGAACAGAATTGTAGAGGTTGTTGTTTTAGAGGTTGTCGATTGTTTTTTTTAATAACAAAAATAAACAATAACTGACACATGATATTGAGTAATTTGAATACTATGTGTTTTCCAGAAACTGCTGTTTGTGTGTGTATACATCAATATACTGTATGTATAGGGGTGTAGGTGTTTACAGGATCCTATTACCCACTTATAGAACTGCTTCTCACATGACACTGATGTCATCACTGTTGCTAATTATATGACATCACAACTCCCATGACATCACAACCTCCCCACTTCTCTGAGAAGATTATGAGTATGATAAAATCAAAACTGGAAATTCTCCTTCTGCAAATAATATGTGTAAATTGTATGTAATTATATGTAAAGGCATTCATACAAACATTCATTTGTAAATTGTCCTATTGAAGTGAAATGGATAATTCACTTACAATGGATTTATGATTTACTCCAAAACAAAAATATCAAATAATGAAATTGGCATGTTGAATAAAGTGTTCTGATAAGAATAACTGTAACTATTTTCCTGTCTGGGTTCAAATCAATGTCTTACATAAGTGTTATTAGGTTATTGTGTCTCACACAAGCCATGCTTTCATTATAATGTGTTATGGATAAGAGAGTCAGTTACCGGCTGAGAAATAACGGTTTATCATAGTATTTTTGTTGACACTGCGTTCTCAATGTCGCATAAGATGAATGAGTGACCTGAAATTAACAGTGGTCTCAGTAGTACAAATAAGTCTCTCAGATTTAACATTTTGATCATTTGTGGTCTCTCCTCTTTGGAAAATGCAAATGCATGTGACACTTAAGCACGTTATAGAAAGCACAATGCATAGAAAGCACTGTCTGCCATGGAGAACTTCAGGCTGAGACTATACTGATGACAACATCTTTCAATGACCTTAGACATTTTAAGACCATAGAACTGACCAAATAAAGTCTGACATTGTCTGGCAGGTATGTTAAATTTCACTGTGATTTAATGTGTCAGCGTGTGGAATGTGATCAATTCTGATTGTGTGAAAGAGAGACAAAATAGAGGGAAAAGGGATGCAGAAATGACAGATACGTTGGCATGTTGTCCCCTAAGGGCAAATTAATTTATGTAACTGCAATGGACAAAACTGTCCACTGTTCAGCAGTCACTGTCTGTGTGTGTGTACTGACAGCAGCGACCCTGCATTATCCGGAAAATGCAGCCAGAAAGCAGTGTGCAGAATTGCAGTGGATAAAATCCTCATGGCTGTTTCCAAAAATAGATCAAACCCTGTGCATCTGTGTGAGAGCAAATTTTCCTTGCTAAAGTACTATGTATCATATATTTCTAGGATCAATTCCACATCAAAACACCATCAACAATCACACACAAACACATTAATCAGTAAAAGCAAATAATATTTACAACAGGCCCTGTTTTCATAATATAATAACCAGGGCCAGAAATTAAGCATAATATGCCACAGATGAGGAAAGAAATAGCAGAGAATTTTAAATTATGATGGCAAAGAAATGCACCATATTGATTTCCTGTTTTATGTCTAATATATATATATATATATATATATATATGTGTGTGTGTGTGTGTGTGTTTAAGATATCAGCTGCTTTGATTGTAATTAGTAGCTGTCTTAAATTTGATTTAATAGCAGCTCGAAATTTTATGTTTATTGATAATGAACATACATGCAGGGGGAAAAAAAGCATCATACGGGTAAAATGCTTCTGAAATCAATTCCAAGGGCAAACATTACCTCGTAATAAAACATAACCAACTCTTGCAATGTGAATGAAGCTCAGTGAGTGAACATCCACCCTTGAGTAATGACAGAAAATACTAGACAAACATTTATTTGCTAAGTACCGGGAGCCCTCTGTCGGTTTGAGAAATAAATTATGGAACAGAGAAACATTAATTTATTTTAACTTTTAACTAATGGTTCTATGACACCCACTGGCCAAAAAAGAACGTTTAATTTAATTGTATTTTAATTAATTTAACATCATTAAATATATTGGAAAGTATGACTCGGAATTCTTCTAATTTGGCCTATGAAAGTAAGGAAGGCAATATCTGTGATTAACTGAAGGTCATTTGTTTTACTTCTTTTTATATTTTGGGTAATGATAATGAGTAAATGAAGCCTCCACATGTCAACATAACAGCTGAAAACAGGACCTGATGGCAGACCTGATGACATTTAAGAATCTGTCTACGCCGCTTAACTATAATCAACTGTACAAGAGCAGAATTTGTTTTTACAATAACTAATGTGGACAATAATTTATCACAGACCAAATAAATTATTCAAACATCACAAGCGGCCCATTCCATTTGGATAGATCAAAGCATAAGCCTATTTTACCCGGAAGTATATTTTATTTATTTGATTGTTTTAAGTTCCCACTTTCAACTTTCTTCATTAAACGTGAGCGGCTAGTGATTTTACTATAATAATAAAACCTCATTACATTACATGAAAATAAATACTCATAAATCATACTTATAAATCATAAATACTATTTTAACCACTTTAATGGTAAGCAATGTTAATTTTAACACGATTATATCTTTCTTTACGTTTAAATTATATCTTTTTTAACGTCACGTCACTTACACGTTGTACATAACGACAGTAAAATCGAAGTGGCATGCTTGGAAACATTTGTAAGAAATTTACCTAAAGAGTCACACTTTGGCCACTTGATCAAATTACAAGACGTGAAACAGAAGATCAACCGCGGCTCGCTGTTCATCTGGCGTGTAGTAGAGTAGGTGTAGTGTTGACGTGTCTCTAAAGCGCTCTCCTCCCTTCAGCTCTGTCGCTTCTCTCTTTCTCTCTCACCCGGGTGGCGGAGCGCACCGGCAGCGCTGGACTATCTGTTTATAGCTCACTGGGACTTCAGATAGTGACCGTGATTTCAGGGGACCGTCACCATGGCGAGTGAGTGCAATATTTTGAACCGTTTCTCGAGTGTTTAACAGAGTTATATCACACTAGAGTTCTGTTAGCACCATTAGCATGCTAGCCAGACTGCTTTCTTTGAAACCTGAGAGGCTGATGTAAGATTAATTTACTTAATTTGTATTTATTTAGTTCTGTGCTTTACTGCAACTCAAAGGCATTTCAGTTCCTCTTTAGTTTCTTTGTTTGGTTCATCAGTTGTTTTTACGTATGTGAATTAACATTTGCATTGTTTTTCTGGTGGCTAATGATTGAATGCTTCGGACAGCTAGCGTTAGCCTGTTAGCTACTTTCTTAACACGTCTGCAACACTTTGTATTACTACAAAATTGTAAACGACTACTTAAGATATTTAATAGCTAATACTGGGAGAACAACTTATTTAGTATTTTGTTGGATTGCCAGACCAGAGGGAAGTTGTCAAATACTAAAGAGTCTAACAAAACAGGCATGCTAGTTAATGGAACGTAATTCTGTGTTTAACTTGATAATTACGTGGCAGTTCATGAATACTCATGACACAAAATCAGACAAACAGATGCGTTATTAGGTCTGAACTCCTGTGACGGAGTATTACATTGTATAAAAGGTCGGAAATAAGCGTTTTAGCTCATCCGTTTAATGATGACGACGCTTTAGATTGGCTACTGTTGTCCTAAATAGCTCAACACGGTTTTGGGAAGAAAGGGACTTTTCATCAGTTGTTCATCTCGGTCTAAAATTTAAATTGCTGCTATTACAGCTTCTAAACATCTCGACAATTTTCTCCCCATATTGAGGTGCTAAAATAAAATGCGGATATATGGTTTAGTAGATGTTATGTTGCAATAAGTGAAATTGTATTTTGTTTTATTTTGTGGGACCAAATGTTTCATTTCTCCTTAACATATAACTTTTTTCCTTTTTTATTTCCAGTTAAATTCTTGGAGGTTATAAAACCATTTTGTGCGGTTTTGCCGGAAATCCAGAAACCGGAAAGAAAGGTATAACATTGTAGACCACATATGTCATGTTTTTTTTTGTTTTTTTTTTGCTAGTTTACGCACAAACCTGCATTTTAAACTCATCCTTATGTTTGTCTTTCAGATCCAGTTCAGAGAAAAAGTGCTATGGACTGCCATCACATTGTTCATCTTTCTTGTTTGCTGTCAGGTAAGTTTTGTTTCTAAATGCATGATAATTGCACTTGCCTGTGCTTCAGTGCTCCAGCTATGTTCAATGTATAAAAATGAGGTTAAGAGCTCATGTAATGTGTCTCTCCCTCTCTCAGATCCCACTGTTTGGGATCATGTCTTCAGATTCCGCAGATCCATTCTACTGGATGAGAGTCATCTTGGCATCCAACAGAGGTAAGTCTGTTTCTGTACGTGCAAGATGTTATGGTATAGTTTGTAGTGTTTAATTCAAAGATTATATTATTTCTCTACACTGCCACCTGATTATTTTCATAGCTAGATTATTCAAGCATGTAATATACACTTGTTCAAAAGTTTTTGGAAAAAATTAATGCTTTTATTCAGCAAAACATTGTGGGTGGTAAAGTTTATGAATGACCCTGTTTTTCAGGTACTCTGATGGAGTTGGGTATCTCTCCCATTGTGACCTCTGGTCTGATCATGCAGCTTCTGGCTGGAGCTAAAATCATTGAGGTTGGAGACACACCTAAAGACAGAGCGCTCTTCAATGGAGCTCAGAAATGTAAGATTTTGTTGTTATTGTTTTGAGTGTATTGCATGTAAATGTAATTAAATAAAATTAAGTAGTTTTAGATGTTATGATTATAATGTTGTTGATGGCAATTTATTACATTTTTTGTCAGTGTTTGGTATGATCATCACCATTGGCCAGGCTATTGTGTACGTCATGACTGGAATGTATGGAGACCCTTCAGAGATGGGTGCTGGCATCTGTCTGCTGATCATCATTCAGGTAAGAGAGCATGCGCGCACACCTCTGGATTTTGTTTGGGCCAGTGATCTATGTGTATTTTGTGATTAGAAAGGTTGTAAATGGATAAGAGATGTAATTATATCTGTGTGCTCTTCCTGTAGTTGTTTGTGGCCGGTATGATCGTGTTGCTGCTGGATGAGTTGCTGCAGAAAGGTTATGGTTTGGGCTCTGGTATCTCTCTCTTCATCGCCACCAACATCTGTGAGACAATCGTATGGAAGGCATTCAGCCCAACCACGGTCAACACAGGCAGAGGTATGCCTTCAGAACACCGCATCTCCTTTTGTATCATATTTTGAACTTAGACGATGACGACTGAATTTTGTTTGTGTACGTACAGGTACTGAGTTTGAGGGAGCCATTATTGCTCTGTTCCACCTGTTGGCCACTCGTACTGATAAAGTGCGAGCTCTGAGAGAGGCCTTCTACAGACAGAACCTGCCCAACCTCATGAACCTCATCGCTACGGTCTTCGTCTTTGCTGTGGTTATATACTTCCAGGTCAGTTTTTTTTTTAGAGCCATAATATGCAAGACTTTTAATTAGCAACGAACTGATTTAAGATTTAATTTCCGCAAAATTCATCAATATAATCAGACTACCCATGTACATATGTTAGGTTTATTTCTGTTCATAATGTTTTGATAATTGTGCATAGATGGATAGATTTTTATAATGTAACTCTCTTAATACTTTTATTGTATTAAAATATAACAATTTTATGTTGTTACTTTTGTGTGTATAATGCTTAGGCAATATTGAACGTTAATATTGAATATATATGTAAACAATCTTGCCAACAAAGTGCTTTAAAATTGAAATAAAAAAATAATAATTTTGTTTTGCACAGGGCTTCAGAGTTGACCTGCCCATCAAGTCTGCACGTTACCGTGGCCAATACAACACATATCCCATCAAGCTGTTCTACACCTCCAACATTCCCATCATCCTGCAGTCTGCTCTGGTCTCTAACCTGTACGTCATCTCGCAGATGCTCTCCACCCGCTTCAGTGGGAATTTCCTGGTCAACCTCCTGGGGACTTGGTCTGTAAGTGTCACCAGTGCTTGTCGTCTTCCACTAAATTTATATTGCAAATCCAGAGCTTGATTTATTGGATGCAGACCAGAAACCAAATAGAACTAGATATGGAAGGGAAAACCTTTCTAATAGCATATTTTCTGTTGCTGTTGCTGTAGGATTCCTCATCCAGTGGTCCGGCTCGTGCCTACCCTGTAGGCGGTCTGTGTTACTATCTGTCTCCTCCGGAGTCATTTGGTTCTGTGCTTGAAGACCCAGTCCATACGGTGATCTACATTGTATTCATGCTGGGATCCTGTGCCTTCTTTTCTAAGACCTGGATTGAAGTTTCTGGATCATCTGCCAAAGATGTGCGTTACTAGTTCTTGTTCATGTTATCAACATTGTTTTTGGATATTTGATATGAAGCTGTAAGGGTTGTATGTGTGTTTTTAGGTGGCCAAGCAGCTGAAAGAACAGCAGATGGTGATGAGGGGACACAGAGAGACCTCCATGGTTCATGAACTCAACAGGTGAGCTACAAACACATTAGCTTTTTTTTTTTAATACTTGCTTGTGAGGACCTTTATTAATCTCACACTTTGTCTGTTACTCAGGTACATCCCCACAGCAGCTGCATTTGGTGGACTGTGTATCGGAGGCCTTTCAGTAATGGCTGACTTCCTGGGTGCCATCGGCTCTGGAACAGGAATCCTATTGGCTGTTACCATCATCTATCAGTACTTTGAAATATTTGTTAAGGAACAGAGTGAAGTTGGCAGCATGGGAGCGCTACTCTTCTAAACAAGGACACTCACATATCACACGCATACTTGCTGACACCTTATAAAACACTTTTATTATTTTTATGATTTTTGTTGTCATTTTATTTTTTATTTCTGTATGATTTGAGCATTCAAAATGGTCTGTCACGAGGGCTGTCTTGGGAGAGAACGTGTTCTTAGTCGTTAGTTCCGGCTGAGCATTTTCTCCTTTTTGTCAGAAGTGGCAAAACGTTTCTAAAATTCAGTGATGGGACAGTAAAGATGGACTCTGTGAGCTCTGACTAGGAATATTCAGGAGTTTTCCCTTCTCAGTCTGTCCTTCCTCCGTCTCCATGTGTCACTGAATCCCTTCATTCACCCTTATGTTTATTTCTTGTCTGATTCAAATTATGCCAGTTAAAAGGATTTTTCAGAAAGTATTGCTAATGTTGAGTGATTGACTTACTCGACACTGCCAAGTTTGTCTCCACACACACAAACTGTCTCTGTTGACAGGCATTTTTTTTCCAATAATAGCTGTCATTTAGTGTTAGGCTCACTCTAACTCCTCATACTGTATTTAATCATAAAAAATGTGATGGTTTAATTATGGCAAAAGATCTGAAAACCAAACAGAGGGGTTTGGTTTCCAGTCAGCAGAATAGCTTGACAGTTGTCAGCGGAAATGCAACACAGTGTGGTACCAATGGCGTGGTTTTTTGTGCGTGTGCATTCATTTACGCTGGAATCCTTTTGTACAGAATACATCTTACACAGTAGGCTTCAAGGATTTTCTGTTTTTGAAAGTACTTGGTCTTTAGTGATAGCTTAGTGGCAGACAGCACTGGTTACACCTGAAGTCTGTTTACTTTCAGAATTAAGCCCTTTTTACTGTATCATTGTGTGTCTGTATATATGACATTTAATTCAGTGAGCAAACGTAAAATATATCTTTCCTTTTTTTCTTTTCTTTTTTTGAACTATGTAAAAAGAAATGTTCTGAACAAATATTCAGCAAAGACTGATAATTCTCAATAAAAACTCATTTTTGGGAGGTAAGATTGTTTTATTTGTGAACATGGCTTACTGGGCTTTTAATAATACAAACCATAAAACAAAATCTTTTTGTGAACGTAAACATGGCTCAGTTTCTTTCCTTTCACATATGACATGGTAAAATTTGAGATTTTTTTATGCAGGTTGTTCTAAACATCCGCAGTACTTCACAAGTCCTTTTGAATTGTGTTGGCTATGTTTAACTAGAAAGGAAATACCATATTTCAGAAAACTGGTGTATAATATTAGAAACTTCCAGTCAGGTGTGTTGAGGCAAGTTGGAGCTAAACTCTGCAGGACACCGGCCCTCCAGGACCGAGTTTGGACAGCCCTGGTCTATGGCTTTTCCCTATTCTGAAATTAGTTCAAGGATGTTCGTAACTTGAGTGTTCATGACTTAAGTCGCTAATTTTAAACAGTACTGTTCGATTAATTTGCTGAGTTCTATAAGCGTCACAAGATTTCTACTAAAATGCTTTTTAAAAGCGTACACTTTAAAGAATGGTGGGTTTATTATTTTCTGAGAGGCAAAAAATAGAGTGGGGGAGCTATGACGTCAGAATCCGGAAAAGTAATTCGCCGCGGTTTCCTACGAGATTTTCCAATTTATGAGTAAAATAAACCCTGTGGTAAACATAACTTGACGATGCTTTGACGTTTTGTTCTCCAACGTAAATTACACGCATCCATACCCAAAACAAAATTTGAAGCAGTTATGTTCATTTTTGAAAATGTAAATAAGTAACTAGATAAAAACGTTTGGGCTGTGAGTGTGTGCAGTTTGCATTGTAGAACAAAACGTAAAAGTATGGTCAACTTATGTTTACCACAGGTTTTAGTTTACTCATAAATTGAAAAACCCCATAGGAAAATCTCGAAGGAACCCGCGGCGAATTACACTTCCTTCACCCCCTGGCTACTGTAAAGTGTTGAATTTGAGTGATTTAAAAAAAAAAGAAAAAAAAAGAATTACACTTCTTGGTTCTGACGTCATAGTTCCTTGGGGTCCTGGTCTACTGTTTATTACGTCATGATATTTGATTTGAAAGCGGCATGACCAAATGAATGACAGTAGGACGGATAGATAGCGGTTGATCATTGCTGGTGAACCGGCACTTTTCGTGTTGATACCGCAAAATACTAGACTTGTTTGAGATGAGCCAAATCTGCGCAGAACCGCAGATGCGAGATGCATGCCGGTTAGAAAAGTGTCCGAGTTACGTACGACTTGCTCTGATGTCATGCTGACGTGTATAATCAGCAGCACAGCACATGAGTGTGAATTACGCGATATCTGCCTTTGATCTCGTAGGTATCTTTTTTTATTATTATTATTATTATTATGCCATACATCAGAACAATACAACGAGAAACATTCAAATGTAAAGGAAAAATAGAAAAAAATGAACAACATTAATGTAATGAAACAGTGGCAGAGGACAGTAACAAAATAAGTAATCTCGTTGGTATCTGTTCACTTGAGAGGTCAGAACTGTCCGTCTTGCCTGCTCTTATTTCACTCCTCCCCTCACTGCAGCCGCCTACTCTCGCCTTCATTTTATCTCAAACAAGCCTATTGTTCCATCACCAACAAATGCTGTCACTGTAGGAACATAACTTGATAATGAAAACTAGATGAAAATGCCTCTAGAAATGCCACAACTAAAAAATACTATAAAAAAACGACTTACCAAATATTTTATTCAAATACTTTTTGGGAGGGTTTTCAAATTTGTCTTTATATCATAGTCTCCGCGCGAGCTTAGACGTGAAGTTGAAGAAGTGAACAGCTTTCTGTGCATATGCGAACCCTGCAACCTCTCCAAACTCTTGGACTGGAGTGAGACTGGTCAATTAAAGCGTGTAGACCTCTGTACTCAATTTAAGAAGGTGTGCATATACAGCTCTGGCTGTACATTTATTTTTCAGTTTTTGCACAGACTTAAGATTAAGAACATTGTCGAAACAAACAGAATGTATATGTTTTGGTTTGTTTGTAGGAAGGCTTCTTCATACAACCTGAGCGGTTGAATGTGCTGATGTCCTCTTTGAATAGTAAGGATGGAAACTCAGTAACTGTGGAAGACCTGGCTGCTGGTATTCAGGCCTGGAGCAGAAAGCATCAGGAAAATGAAGAACAGCAGTCAAACCCAGGTATGGTCTGGGGGTAAAGATAGGGACAAAAACTTGTCCAAGTGCAAAGGTGTGATTATGAACATTAATTGCTTTCAGTGTGTAACATCATAAGGTATTGCATATTTATGTTTAGGTTATTGGAACGCAGACTGTGAGAAAAGGATTGGGTCGAGACATTGTCTTCCAATACATGGAGAGGAGAAAGAGGTACAGCAACACATAAACATATAAAAACAAATATCAAAGTACCACTGAATTACCGTCGGAGAGTACCATGTTCCAACCAAAGTACTTTTTTTTAATAAAGGCAGTTAAAACTATAATTATTATCACAAAATGATAATCCTTAATAGTTTTTGAATATAATTTATGTTAATTACATGATCAAATTATGTCTGTTGAATTATGCTACATATCCAGTCGAGCTCTTTGAATGTAAACATTTCTAGGAGAGCATGCAGGATGTGGAGGTGTTAGCGATCATGCAGAGAGTTCTGCCAGCCACCAAGATCTCTTGCCCTTCTTCTCTAAATGTGGCCCTATGGGCAGAGAAAGTGGATCGTTTCAGGAGACTTTGTTTCAGAGAATACCTGAAATCACTGGAGCAATGCCAATGACAAGCGCTTAATGTGAGCCAGGCCACACTGCAGAAAGGTATGTTATATATAAAATATAGAAACTGCACATACACACAAGCACATATAAAGATGGCATATTAAACCATTGTAAAAAAGAATGACGAATATAAATGCAACCTGAAAGTGTATCTTTCTCAAAGTCCTGTTGCACCCTGGTGACATGAGCATGTCTAGCATCTTCAAATTGGGAGGGAAAGGTCACTTCGGGACACCCAAAACACATCAAGCTGAAGGTGGAGCACATAAGGGCCACAAAGAGATGTAAGTCACTCTATGATGAAAAATCTACTAATCAGGACCAGGACGAGGAGGTTTATATGTTATGACTGGTTTTATTTATTTGTTTTGTTAACTTTTATGACATTCAAAAGTTTGAGGTTAGTAAGAGTGTTTTTTTATAGACATTAATGCTTTTATTTCTGTAAAGATACATTAAATTGATTGAAAGTGTCAGTAAAGACTTTTACATTGTTAAAAAGATTTCTATTTCAAATAAATGCTATTCGTTTGAACTGTCTTCATCAAAAAGTCCTGGAAAAATGGATAATGGTTTCCACAAAACTATTCAACAGCACAGCTGTTTTCAGCATTGCTAATAATAATAAAAAATGTTTCTTGAGCACCAAATCAAATGATTTCTAAAGGATCATGTAGCAGCGAAGAGTGGAGTAATGCCTGCTGAAAATTCAGCTTTGCCATCATAGGAATAAAATACATTTAAAGGTCCCCTGAAATGTTTAGAAACAGGCAGCGTTACTCTATGTGTTGACATCATTTTAACTGAAACAGGAAGACAGGGTGGGACATATCAAGCAGCCCCGCCCCTTTTTAAAATAGCCAATAGCGTTTGTTTATATCACAGCTTGGGCTAGAGCCGTTCAGAGCCATTGAACTCCGTAAAGCCGCATTTGACAGGGTATGCCAGCCACAATCTCATCCATATTGCTATAAAATATAGCATTCTGTGTAGAATTCAAATAGCTCCGATACATTTTGTGGTCTGTGTCCGGTGCGGTGGTTAGCGTGACACAGCGCAAAACCAGACTTTTTTTCCTCAATGGAAAGCATATTTACACTGTTTGAATCGTTCCCTGTCCCCTATATAGTGCACTACGTGCCATTCACTGTACAGAAAATACTAATTCTGTGGACAAGTGACCGATTTCAGCCACGGCTTCAGCGTCTATTTTATAGTGTAGGGGGCGGGCGCTTCGGATTCTAGAGAGCATTTGATTGGACAGAAAGTATAATGAGAAGCTGAAGTAGGATGTGACTTCAAAAAAAAATAATTGAGCCGTTTTGGCGGAAGTGACGAACTGCCAGCTTTGAATGCTTATATCTTCTAGTTTTGGAGCACACTGCCTTACAGATAACTTTAAGACTAACATATTGATACTAACACCCAAAAAAATTTAATTTTGATTTCATGGGGACTTTAAAAATTATTATTTTAAATAATTGCAATAATATTTCACAATTTTACTTTTGTACTGTATTTTTGATCAAATAAATGCTTTCAGATAAATTCTTTCAAAAATATTTAAAAATCTTACAGAATAAGAATGTTTGAATTTGGTTATGTCTGTATATGTGTTGTAGGAAGAAGCAGCCGGTTTGCTGGGCGGACCCTAATGCTTTCTGGCCTGGAAGGGAAGATCATGCGCGCTCGTTCCTGCCTGTAATGACAAGCTCTCCTGCAATGGTTTTATTTCAGCGTATCCAAACTACTGTTTTGCCAAGTCCTGGCCACTGGCTTGTAAATCATTTAGGATACTCAACCTCTGGAGACATAGAAGCTCGCAAAATGTACACCCTCTAGAATATCTTTTACCGTATTGAATGTCTGTATTAAATGGGATATTGTTGTTCTGACTTTCTAAAAAGCGAATTTCTACCATTAGTTTGCGTGCAACGCTGAAGTAATAGGTGCGCTGATATTTTTAGCTGCACAGGCTTTGTTTTGTCACTCAACATATTTTCATCTGTGACAGAGTGAACTAAAGCAGTCATGTTTGATTTAATAAATATTATTATATATTATTATAAAAAATTCTCACAATACTTTTTTTTACAGTATGAAGTGTGAATGTACAAATAGCTTGTGTGTGTTGTGTGAATAGAGTCCTGTTTTCTGTGTTCCTGATACCAGGGTATTTGCATTAGGAAGTATAAAGCAGAGTGATTTGTTTGATGATATAGATCAGGACATCTGTGAATTGAGAAAA